CTCCTTCCACGGTCCTCCCTCCCTCCCTCCCCTCCCCTCCCCTCCCCTCCCCTCCCTTCTTCCTCCCTCTCCTCCTTCCTCCTCCTCCTCCTCCTCCTCCTCCTCCTCCTCCTCCTCCTCCTCCTCCACTTGGTCTTGCTGCTAGTTCGACTCAGACTTTCTCTGCAGGAGCAAGAGTCATCGAGTTCCTCCCCTTCCTCCTCCTACAGTCCTCCGTTAGTCTCCTCCCCGCCCACCAGCGGGCAGCGACGCTGACGACAGTGCGCAGGTCACGACCATCTTCTGGCACGTGTCGACTGCAGTCGGTATGCAGCACGTCACATTCCTGGTGGGCCAGATGGCCAACTGCCTCGTAGCAAGTGACGCGTGCTACGTCAGATCCCTCCGGAGTCGATGGTGCCTGACGACGCCACCTCCCTCCACAACTTCCGGGTGCCGGTAAGGAGCCATGGGAAGCAGTCTCTTGCCCTGAGCAGCTTGCCAGGTGGAGAACTTGCTGCTGCACCTCGGGAAGCTGCTGCAATGAGCTGAGGGAGGAGGAGGAGCGAGAAGGAGAGAGGGAGGAGGGAGGAGCGAGAAGGAGAGAGGGAGGAGCGAGGAGCGAGAAGGAGAGAGGGAGGGAGGAGGAGCGAGCGGGAGAAAGGATAGAGAAGAAGCTGAGACAACGATGGGAGGGCGCAGGAACGACTCGACAAGGGGTCAACATGGGAAATGCCTCCACAAGACATGTCGTTTCCTTCAATCAATCCTCTGGAGCATACCAAGGATCCTCCTCCCTCCCCTTGCGATGAAATAGCGGCAACGTGGCTCACGGCCTGTTCGACATGCTGCAGACAGGCCCTGCCATGGCGCTCAACGTTCGACTGCGCTGGTCCGAAGCAACGACTCTACTCTCCTCTGAAATTCTGCTCCAGTCTTCTATGACTGTAAATGACTTTCACGATATGTCAATCACCTCCTCGTTTCCTCCCTCTCTCCCCTCCCCTCCTCCCCCTCCTCCTCTTCCCCCTCCCTCTCTCCCCTCCCCTCCTCCTCTTCTCCCTCCCTCCCCTCCCCTCCTCCTCTTTTCCCTTCCTCTCTCCCTCCCCCTCTCCGCCCATCTCCCCCCGCCCTCCTCCATCCGCCATCTCTCCGCCACCACAAAGTTTGCCGGTGGTTGCTGCCATTTCTTCGCACGTCTCGACTTGATAGGACCTCCGTTGCTGTCCTCCATTCTCCCGAGTTGAGCTTTCATTTTACGCCTCCCCCTGCCCCCTGCTCACACCTCCTTTTAAACTCCTCCACATCCACCACCACGACCTCCTCCTCCACATCCACCACCACGACCTCCTCCTCCACATCCACCACCACCACCACCACCACCACCTCCTCCTCCTGCTGCTGCTGCTGCTGCTCCTCCTCCTCCTTCTCCTCCTCCTGCTCATCCTCCTGCTCCTCCTCCTCCTCAACCTCAACCTCCTCCTCCTCCTCCTCTGTTGTGAACCAACCTGCAAGAATATTTCTGCACCCTCGCATGCTTGCAAGCTACTATATTCCCTCATCCTTCTTCTAAGATTTTACCTCGTCTCCGCGCTCTCAACTGCGCATCCCTTCCTTGATCTCCGCCGCCACCACCACCACCTCATCCTCCTCCTCCTCCTCCTGTCCTCAACTGCAGTAACCGATGCAACCATACTTGTTCCACCATGGCATATTTAGCTCTTCTCATTTTCTTTCCTCCCTGCTCAATCTCGCTCTGTGCATTCTCCTCCTCTCCCAGTCTCCCGCCATGGCGTTCGTGTCAAACCCTAACGCTCACCATGCACAGAGCTCTTTTCCACGAGACGCTGACCGCTGCTCTTCCTCCTCCTCTCCTTCTGCAGGACATCTCGGATTCTCCACCCTTGCCTTCCCCCGGCTGAACATGACGAAGATGAGCATTCCTGCCGTGATCTACAGCACCAAAGGAGAGCAGGGGATCCGAATGGTCACCAAGACGTTCAGCATGCGCGTCAGGCGGCAGCACCTCCTCTGCCGCGTCATCTGTGCTGGGATCAACCCCGTGGACGCGAAGTTCCTCGTCGGGGACAAGCTCCCTCACTGGGCAGGAGAGATAGGGAGGAGCGTGATAGAGGGGAGGACCGTTGGCTTCGACTTCTCCGGCATCGTCGTCGACACGCCGTCCGACTGCAGTCAGTTCAAGGTCGGCGATCGAGTCTTCGGGATCCTGCCAGCGGGCCAGGGCACTTTCACTCAGTACGTCCATGTCCCTATCGACCAGGTCGCTATCAAGCCCTCCTCCCTCTCCTTCGCCGAGGCCTCCTCCCTCCCCCTCGTCGGCCTGACGGCCTTGCAAGCGCTGAAGATCGATCATCATCTCGCCCCGTCGCAGCGGCTCCTGGTCATCGGAGGGAGCGGCGGGGTTGGGCACGTTGCCATCCAGGTAGCCAAGGCGATAGGAGCCAAGGTGACGACGATCTGCAGTCCGAGCAACACAGACTTCGTGCGGAGTTTGGGAGCTGACAAGGTCATTGACTACACCAAGGGGAACGAGCACGTGCTGGCAGAGCTGACGGAGGAGGCGAAGGCGAACGGGCCGTTCGACTTGTGCTTCGACACGGTGTCGAGCAATGAAGCCAAGGACAGGGAGTTCCAATACAGGCGGATGATCACGTCGAAGAACCGCAGCCGTAGCCTGCTGGCGGGCAAGTACGTCACGATAGGAGGTAGCACGTCGGAGTGGGCAAAGGCTCTGGTCAAGAGAGTGTGCGGTCTGAACCTGTTCGGCAAGGAGGAGCTCTTTTGGGTGTGGTTCCCCAACACCAGGAAAACTTTGGAGGAGCTGGGGGCTCTCGCTGAATCACGTCAAGTTCGCCCAAAGCTTGCAGAGGTCATCCCTTTCGAAGAATCGGCGGTGCGAAACGCGTTTGCGAGGCTACACGGCAGGAGGGTGGTTGGAAAGTTTGCGATACAGGTATCTCCTGAAGACTGGAAGCTGGACGCTGAGACAAGCGGAGCTGGCCAGGGATCCCAGTAGGAGGAACTTCAAAGGCTGTTGCTGAGGCGGGGCTGCTCCAGGACTTCAGAGCTGTCGATCAAGTTCTGAACTCCGAAACTCCGAGCCCGTAAGCTCGACTGTTGCAGAGGAAGTGAAACGAAAGACTTGAGTGATATGATGTGGGTACGATTGTGATGGTCTCTTCTTCAAGTGTTCAGTGAATGACATCATGATGTATGTGATGTGCCAACAGTGTGATGACATCGCCCTCAACCGTTGATGATCGTGACACGCCGCATTACCGCACGCCGGCGTGACTGAGTAACCGTCACTGAGTCACCCGAACCGTATCCGACCGTCCGACGGGCCGCAGCCAGTATGATGACGGTCTGATGGGCGGCACCCAGGAGACTCATACTACCCTCTCCTAGCCTCTTCACTGAGTCAAGGCTCCCGGTTCCGACAGCGCCGGGGCCCTTCACAGGCTGACTCGGCTGCCCGCGGCGGCCGCTCCAAGGCCCCGGGCCTGAGCCTAGCGGCTCTCCAAGCAGGAACGAGTCTGCAGACCGTGAAGTCGACTGATCGGATCGGACTGCTGTCACAGTGTGGTCGCTCACCCACACTGCGAGGGGCAGGCTGCAGTGCTCAGTGACAGTAAAACTTGAAAGCCTTGAAGGTTCCGAATGTGTTTGGCGGCCCTCCGAGCCGCGGCAGACCCAGAATATGCCTGCCAATATAAATCATTGGTAGAAGACGTTGGTTGCATATGCTTTCTTCTTTGTAAAGCGAGGCGCGGCATTGCACGTTGCTGGGCCGATCGGACAACGCCGGCCCCGCCGGGCGAGGCCGCCCCGGCCGGGCTGCTACTAGGCTCGGCCGCTGTCACCGGGGGACGCCGGGTGGCCAGCCGCTCCTCCCGAGTCCCGGGCAGCGCCCCCGCGCACTGCGGCAGTGCCCCGGGGCGCCCCCCCAGGCAGGCAGGTCGGAGCCCCGCCCCCCTTTGGACTCCGGGCAGCCGGCGCCCGGCACTGTTACTGAACTTCAAGCCTGGCTCAGCCTTTGCCGCCCCGGGGGCCCGGAACTTGGGCGCGGCGCGGCGCGGCGGCCGGGGCGGCGCCCCTCCCCCCGACTACTTGAACAGTGAATTTCCCGAGGCTAGGCCGATCCTCGCCATCACTGACGAGTTGGGCCGGGCCCGGACCGTCCCGGAGTCCGTCACACTGTGACAGGCCCGCTGCCAGGCAGGCTGGCCGCCGCACGGTCACCGTCTGCCAGACATTACTCGGAGTGCCGTGCCTTCCGCCGGATCCTGTCCTGCGAGTTTTAAAAAAGGTATCCATTCCCGCAAGTTCCGTTTCAGTATTCAAAGGTTCGACCACCCCCGGGCATTGACCACCCCCGACTTTCTCTTTTCCAAAGTGGGGATAGAGGGGTAGGATCCGTAGTGGCACGGGCAAATGGCGGGGGCGAAACTTTAGCTGTGCATAGTAGCAAGAGGAGGAGGAGGAAACGGATGTTGAAGGGTGCTACAAGTGTTGATAATGTACTGTTGAAGAGATCTGGATAAGATTGTATGCATTGTGAGCGGTTCAGGGTATGAAGGAACCCAAGATACTGATGGCAATGAGTTTAGCGGCAGGGTTGGATCAACCATGCGGCAAGAAGGGGGGTGGTTGTTGTCATATTCGCTGCAACAGATGGTGATGTGCTGGAAGTTAGCAACACGGAGGTGTAGGTCATTCTGTGTAGCGCACCAAGTGTAGCGCACCAAGACGCAGACGTTGCTGTGCCGCATGTTTCAAGTTGGGGTGAGGATGACGACTGAGGAGGTTCATACTTGGTATATGTCAAGCATTTCTGACTAGATTTGACTTGTTGTTAATAATTTCTCAACATGTCTCGCAGATTCTGAACGACCTTTCATCCTTGGCCCTCTGTGTAGGATGCCCGCACCATTGAAGGCGCCTCGAGTCTTGGAGCATCAGGTTTGCATCGTGCTGTCTGGGCAGCAGCAGGGACTAACAGTGTTGTCTCACAGAAGAGGAAGGTGAATGCTGGGATCCTTCCTGATCAGGTGTTGGACTCTTTCCTTGGTCTTTCCCTGCGATCATCTGACACGATCGTTTCTAGCAGCAAGTCCCCAGTGTAGGCGACAAGGAGCAGCAGGTGCTGCTGAATCAATCTTGGGACAGATACGGCATCGGGATTCAGTTTGAGTACGACTTGCAAGATGGTGTTGTCCTGGTGCGATCGATCTCTCGAGGTTGTCGACTCTCTTCCTCCTCGTTCCGCCCGTTGGCTCATCCCTCCCCGCAGGCGCTGCTGTTCCCTTCCGCATCGGAGACAAGCTCCTGCGGCTGGACGGCAACTCCATCCTCCAGAACCCAGCGCTAGCACCATCTCTCATCTTCGGGGCGAAGAACTCGAACCTTCACGTATGCATGCTACAGGATGGAGTGGAGGTGGAGGCCTGGTGCAAGCGGGGCTTCTTCGTGGAGGACGAGAACATGTTGTCGATACTCGGAGGAACGAAAGCTTGCGGCATTGGGGTCGTCTTGGACAAGGATCCTGTCACCTCGTTGTTTGTTGTCAAGAAGGTCTTCCACAACAGCCCTGCGTACCTTGCAGGCCTCAGGTCTACCTGCATCTGTTGCGTCCCTTGCTGATCACGAAGTTCAGGAGCGGCCATCTCATCTACTCCATCGACGGCAAGACCGTCCACGCGCTGTCAAAGGATCAGCTCCCTGGGCTGCTGCTGGGCAAGCAAGGAACGAGCATCAGCCTCACCTTCCTCACCAAAGGTCACCGTCGGACCTGCATGAGCCGCAGCTGATGCTGGCTTCCTCAGATGCGAAGGATGTCAAGCATGTCGACGTCGTCCGCACGGTTGACACTGCGCGAGCTCAGATGTCAAATGTCTCTGCTCGAGTTTGTTGCAACTTGTTGGGACCCTCAAGCAGGTCGATCTCTCTGCAGGTGCTACACTTAGTGGTCTCCGAGCTTGATCCTGATCTCTCTGCCGCAGGAACTCAAGAAGGACATTGTCTTTGCGCTCTGGACCTCTCCGAATCGAGTGGTAGTGACTGAGGAGGCTTGCGATGCGTATGCCATCAACGTTCACATCCTCCCCGACATCGAGGGAGAGGACTCTCGGAGTGTACAAGAAGTCGTCAGTGAGCTTGAGAAGCAGCTCGAAAACTCCTGCAGTTGTCTCAGGAAAACAAGTTTCGGAGGACACCTGCGATCGGTGAGTTCCGCTCCTTGCCTTGAACGAGGTTGTGATGGAAGCACCTCCCAGCAGAGTTCCAGCCGCCGGGAGTCATCTGAGAGCGACTCGACCTCAGTCTCTCGCTGGTCCTCCGCCAGCACGCTGGACAGGACGGTGACGCTGTCGTCGCCGCTCTCGATGGAGGAGCAACCCACTTCCAAAAGCCCTACCTACGTCGACCTCGACTTCTTCGGGGCTCCTGGAGCCATGCCTTCCATCACCCTCAAGGGCCACGAGCCAAACGCCTCCGTCCATGGCATCCCTGCGCGCGTGGTGAGCATGAGCGATCCGACGGCTCCTCATCTGGACGTGGAGATTCCCCTCAGTAGCTGCAGCGTAGCCGACGTGAAACGTGATGTCAGTCTCGCTCGTTACGTGGTTGACAGTCTGCAGGTTTGATCCTACGTCGGCTGGAATCGGAATCGTCAGACATGGAGCTGTGGCATGAGGGAAGGCACCTGCCGCCCAGTACGGACGTGCGTGAGCTCTGGATGAAACAGCAGCAAGCAGGGAGCCTGAGGCTGGCGTATTCCCTGACACGGTCACCGGTGTTCAAGCCCATCAGAATATCTCATGGCCAGGGGATGCGGAGTGTCGAGGGCTTGCGAGAGAGCGGCCTAGCGACTCGAGGGAGCGACAAAGACTCTTTCAGCCCAGCAGGTTGCCCTCCTTGCGTTGATGTTTGCGGCGACTCACATTCGCTTGCACAGAGCTTGTCCGCTGCGGCATTGTGGGAGTTTGGCAAGTTTAATCAGCATAGTGTATTCTATGAGCAGAAGGGCAGACAAGGGCCTCTCAAGGCTTGTCTGCGAAGTGTCGATCCGACGAGGAATCTTCCTGGTCCTGTACAGTGCTATTCTTACTGACATTGAAGTCTTATCTCCCCCCCTACCTGCGTCGGCGAGATAGTGTTCCACACACACTTGACAAGAGGAGACGTCCTCGTCGTCCTTAGAGTTGGTCCAGACCGCATTCTGTGGACCCCTCAGTCATGCAGGCGTCCAGGAGTGACATGAGACCTTGGAAGACTGAACCGACGGGTCCCACGCCCTGCCCCCTATCTCGTGCGTCCCCGAGAGATGCTCCGAGTTGAGCTGCCGCACTAGAGCACAGAACGAGGAAGGGCTGCATTTCTCAGCTGCTCAAACACCTCTCAGTCACAGCAAGGAGCGGGTGGAGAGCTCGGCACCGGGTTGAGATTCTACGGGCTCCTTGTTGAATTCAAGGGAAGTATTGCCGCGCATCGACGACCTGGAGGACTTCATCAGACCCCGAGCAGGAACCGGCCAGGCACGTACGAGACAGAGTAGTCGAGGACTCCTTGCTCATGCTGTCGTTTCAGCGCGTCCTGGTTGAAAGCTGGACGAGCCCAAACAGACTTTGGCTCCTGGAAGAAAAACTCGTCAAACGCACATTTGAACCTTCCAGCTTCCTCCTACGTCACCTCCTCCTTCACGACCCCCACGTGTACAGTCCCTTCCTTGACGTGAACAGCCGGTTCGAGCACATCCTTCTCCGCATGTTCGACTTGCTCTGCCTGATTGGTGGAGATTGTAGCCCCCCTTCTCCTATCCGCAGCGTTCAAGGTGATACGCGGACGAAGGGATTTCGTTCTCCCCCATCCGTCATCTACACACCTCGTGACTCCTCCCCCTTTGCCAGACCTCTCTCGTACCTTGCTCCTCCCGCCACGTCCGCCATGTCACTTTCGCCTTGTGCTGCTGGACGAGGCGGCGAACGTGCGGCCCGATTGTGAAATGGGCTCGTCGGCCCAGCCCCCCAAAGCCGCTCAATGGCATCTCCTCGCCGTCACCATCGTAGACCTGGAGGTAGGACGGAGGCGTCAGAGGTCTAAAACTCGACCAAGAGGGTCAACAAGGCACCTTGTCGCCTCCTTCCAGGGAAAAGAATCGGCCAGGCTGCCCCCTGTTGACCCGCCTGGAGCTATGGACATAGACGATCTTCGGGGACTGACGGAGTGCCCTTCCTTGCAGCAAGGCCGCTCCCTTGGCTCCACCCAGAACAGATGCCGAACGGCGAGACAGGAGGTAACAGCAAGTACAGACGAGGAGTGAGAAAGCCACGAAGCCTACTTTCGTAGTCCTTTCAACCCTGACCATGGACGATGCTATGACTTGTCGGAGTGTTGAAACATCTACGGAGGAGAAATTCAATCAGCATGAGAAAAGTCTTCACGGCATGAACATCTTGTCTCTGCTTTGTGATAGCTTCCCTACTTTCCCTCCTCCTCCTCGCTCTTAGTTTCCTCGCCTAGCTCTTTCTACTCCACTGATCTACATTCCCCTAGCTGCACCAACTTTACCACCTGTTCCTCATCACTGTCCATGTTTTCGTCCTCCTCGTTCCACCCCTTGAACGCTCGCTCGCACTCCACCATTTTCTGTTGGCCCTTGGACAAGGCCCCTCATCCCCTCACTGTTGTTGAAATGCCCTCATCCCCCCTCATCTCCTTCAATCATTCCTTAACAATAGGGTGGGTGGGTTAAAATTGGGTGGGTACTAAAGACTGGGGGTGGGAGAAGGACAGCTCTGCAATGGTTTTACCTTGTACAGTAGAAGGAAATTGATGGACAATGTGAAGAAAGTTCAAAATATGGGGTACTATAGCGCTCGATGTGGGTGGGGGTAATGTACGGTGGGGTAGCCTTGAGATGCTGCGATGGTAAGGGTACACGGGTCGTACCAGGACCCACCCTACCTTGCTGACTGCTTACACAACATTGCTGTGTCAATGGGGTACCCAGAGATAGATGTACCCCTGATATCCCTAGAACACCGGTATAAATACAGATAAAATCACCGGTATACAAAGGTTTTTTAGTACCCCCTACCCACCAATGAAAACCACTCCTCGAAATACCGGTTGGTTCTACAAGAACACCCTCCCTACAACATCCCAACCACCCCCTCCCTCCCCACCCCCACCCTCAATGCTATACACACACCACCACTTTTCAACCCCTACCCCCCAATACATCAACAAATCCATAGGTGATACTGTAGACCGGTCCCTGTCCTTGCTGCCCCTACCCCCTCCGTACCCCCCGACCTCCCTACGACTCTCTCCGCGTCAATATGCAGAGATAGACGTTGCAGTAGCGATGGTTACGGCTCGAACATGACCGCAATGAGCATATCATCCTCTTCCTCCTCTTCCTCTTCCTCTTCCATGTCCTCATCCGTGTCCTCGACATGTTTCATGCGCTTCTCCCGCTTCTACTTTCCCACTCCCTTAACCTGCGCCATCCTGCACCTGGTGCCTGTCTAATTTCCTTCACGTGGAATTTCGAGTTCATCGTCACCTATCTCCCCTGCTGAGTCTGTTGTTTTTCGTGTTTCATCATCGTGCCTTCATCGTTGTCGCTGCGATCTGTGTTGGACGTGCATCCGTTTGTTCAACCATTACTCCCTTGCCGTAGTCCTCCTTGCTCAATGCATTTTTTAGTTTCCTAAAAGCAAAGTCCACTCACAAAACCTTGTATGACTGCATTTCTTGTAACTCTGTATGATCTCCAGTGAAACTTCGAAAGAAGCGCTTGCTTCTTGCCACGAGGAGAAAAATGGGCTCGTATCAGAAGCTGTTAGGATTATCCAGACTCAGCTCTATCCCCAATGTCGCCAACCCCTTCTACACCTTGCAGAAATCTTTGCAGCAAAATCGACGGAATCGCATACTTGCAGGAAGCATAAGACAGTCATCAAGTTATGTCGAAGAGATGCGACGAGCGTGGGAGAGGGATCCCAGTTCCGTGCACGACTCATGGGTGTCCTACTTTGAAAAGTATAGCTCGATACCGACCACGCACGCTCCAAGCCTTTCAAGTCTGCCGAACTCTGACGAATTACAGAAGATTGCATCGGACCATATCAAGATGTTGTTGTTCATCAGATCCTACCAAGTGCGGGGTCACTACATGTGCAAGTTTGACCCCCTAGGAATCAACGATGCGAATCTGCATGTGGATAAGTTTAGTTATCGTGGAAGCCAGGAGCAGGCTGACAGTGTCCCCAAGTTTTTGGATTATCGAACATACGGCTTCACAGAAGCGGATCTTGAAAGGGAGTTTTACTTGAATGCAAGCGTCAGTGGCAGGGGGGGTCTGATAGGCAGTAAAGAGAAGAAGAAATTGAAAGAGATTATCCAGATCATGAAAGAAGCTTATTGTGGCACGGTGGGTGTGGAATTCACGCATATTGCAGACCTTGAACAGCAAAACTGGATTCGATCAAAGTTTGAGAAACCCAAGAAATTTGAATTCGATGAACAAGCCACACTCCGAGTACTTGATCGCTTGATTTATTCTGTTCAGTTCGAGAGTTTCTTGGCTACTAAGTACAATACCACGAAGCGTTTTGGCTTGGAGGGTGTCGATTCGTTGATTCCAGGTATGAAGGCGATGATCGATACGGCGGTGGAACTCGGCGTTGAGTCAATCGATATCGGGATGCCGCATAGAGGTCGCCTGAATGTCTTGGCGAATGTTATGCGTAAGGTACGAAACCGGTTGATTTCTTGCGTTTATCTTTGACTTGTTTGACTTTTGCAGCCCTTGGAGGAAATGCTGTACGAATTCATGGAGGGAACGATCACTGCAGATGCTGAAGGCCATTTGCTTGGCTCCGGGGATGTGAAATATCACCTTGGGTTTACCATGGATCGCCCAACACATAGCAATAGGAATGTTCACATTTCCTTGTGCGCAAATCCCTCGCACTTGGAGGCAGTCAACCCCATCGTGGAAGGAAAGACAAGAGCGAAGCAACATTACTCAGGAGACACGGAAAGGAAGCGATGCATGAGCGTGGTGCTCCATGGAGATGCAGCCTTTGCAGGTCAGGGGGTCGTCTACGAGACATTGGAGCTCTCTGACATCAAAGGATATACCACTGGTGGCACCATCCACATCATCGCAAACAATCAGATTGGTTTCACGACGGATCCTCGATTTTCAAGGTCATCACCTTACTGCACAGATGTCGCTAAGTCGGTGGGTGCGCCCATTTTCCATGTCAATGGTGATGACCCAGAGGCTGTTTGCTGGGTCATGTCCTTGGCTGCGGAATTTCGACAGACATTCCGCAAGGATGTGGTGGTGGACATCGTCGGTTACAGGAGGCATGGCCATAACGAGATCGATGAGCCCATGTTTACTCAACCTCTGATGTATAAAATCATTAAGAAGCATCCTGACGTTCTCAAGATCTACTCCGACAAGCTGGTTGCTGAAGGACGTGTCACTCGGGAGAAGGTTGAAGAGATGAAGGCAGCTGCTAACACAGTCTTCAACGAAGCCTTCGAGAAGGCCAAGGACCCGAACTATCGCCCCCCGCCTTCTGCTTGGTTCGGTACTCAGTGGAAGGGCTACAAAACCAAGTTTCAGTTGGGAAAGAATGACGAGACTGCTGTCCCTAAGGACACCTTGCAGTCCATTGGGGAGAAGATATCTGCTGTGCCCCAAGGCTTCAACATTCATCGCAAGTTGGAGAAGATGATGCGCGACAAGCGAAAGGCTGTTTGCGATCAGGAGAAGGGGATCGACTGGGGAACTGCTGAGGCCCTTGCATTCGGAAGCTTGTTGTTGGAAGGCACCCATGTTCGACTGTCAGGGCAGGATGTAGAAAGAGGGACGTTCAGCCACAGGCATGCAGTGCTCCACGATCAGAAGAACGAGACCAAGTACATTCCGCTCAACAACTTGTCTCCCAACCAAGCTATGTTTGCCGTTTTCAATTCTAACCTCTCTGAGTATGCTGTCCTTGGATTTGAACTGGGATATGCCATGGAGAATCCCAACTCACTCGTGTGCTGGGAGGCTCAATTTGGAGATTTTGCCAATACAGCACAGGTGATTATCGACCAGTTTATCAGCAGCGGAGAGCAGAAGTGGCTGAAAGGCTCCGGACTCGTCATGCTCCTGCCCCATGGATTCGAAGGTCAAGGACCTGAACATTCCTCAGCAAGGCTGGAGAGATACCTTCAGATGTGTGACGATGACCCTGATTACATTCCTGAGATGGAGGACACAGGGGTGCGACAGATCCAAGATGTCAACATGCAGGTCGTCAATCCGTCCACCCCCGCCAACTACTTCCACCTGCTGAGAAGACAGATCCGCAGAGATTTCCGCAAGCCTCTGATCTGCATCAGCCCCAAGTCTCTCCTTCGTCATCCTCAATGCCAGTCCGATCTCTTGGATTTCTACGACAACAAGGGATTCCAGAGGGTTTTGCCGGACAGCCTTGAGGACATCGTTCCCGACAAAGAAGTTCAACGACTTATTCTCTGTTCTGGAAGAGTGTATTACGACTTGGCTGCGGAGAGAGACAAGCGCAATGTAAAGGATGTGGCTATCGTGAGGATCGAGCAGATTTGCCCCTTCCCCTACGACCGTGTCGGGCAAATGTCTATCCGATACCCCAATGCAGAGATCTTCTGGGTGCAGGAGGAGCCGTTCAACCAGGGAGCTTGGGGTTACGTGCAGGTGATCGCCGAGTCTGTTGCTGCCTCCACCCTTCTGACGTTCTGTACAGCCTCGCATCGCCACAGCCCTTCGTGATCTTAACGGTAAAGAAGCCTTCTACGTCGGTAGAAATGCGGCAGCTTCTCCTGCCACTGGAAGTCCAGCCATCCATCAAGCCGAGCTGGTGAGCTGAGGATTGTGCGTGCGACCTGTTCGACGGATTGACTTGGGTGCAGGATCGTATCCTAGAGGATGCGTTTGCCCCTAACTACAAGCACGAGCAATGGCAGTGGAGGCTGTCGGACTTGCTCAGTAAGACCAAGAAGTGAGCTCAGTTCGGGTTGACCACGACGTGTATTAAATGTTTCACTCATGCCCTGGACGTAGCTCAGACTACAGGCCACAGCCCTGCTGCCTTGTCGTGTGTACTCCCGACCTGGACAAGACGCGTCAGGGATCACTTGACAAAGATGGACTTTAATCTGCGGGTCGTTGAACAGGTCTTGCCCATTGTCTGAGCAGACCATGCCTGATAACCCTAGAAACTCTCTTGCACCTTGCTAGACCGGCGCACTCATCCAAACTCAGTGCGCCGGTGAGTAGAGTGCGGGAAGGATGGACAAGAAGCAAACTTACCATCGCCTTCCTTCAACCATCTTGATGTCGACCAGCACCACTGTTGGGCCATGACAAGCTGCGCACCTGCACGTTCTCAGGTCAGAAACACGAAGGATGCAGATCAGGAGTAGGCACGCAGAACAAGGCAGACAAGGAACTGAAGAGAGAAGAGAAGTGACAGACGAGGAGAACTGTGGGCTCTTTAATAGTATGGGCTCTCATTCGTCTGAGAGGACCAAGTGGAGAAGAGCCCGCGGGTTGTCTGGCCCGCTGCTGGTTTACCAACAAGAGAATATAGGCAGCAGAAGTAAGATATGCACTCATGGAAGGAGTGACATCAGGCAAGCTGCCATAGCAACACACAAACAAGTTCAGGACTGGATCTTGCGAGCTGAAATTCTGATTCAAGCACATGCTGCTTGAACCAGACTCAACAGCCGCGGACTTTCGCAACATCGAGTAAGGAAAGAGGAAAACTAGGTGTCCCACTTCCTGTCGCAATAGAGTTGCAACACACAGGCAGACGTGATCGCAACAAGAATAGAATATTACCTTGACACAGCAGTGGTTCTCAACTTTGATCGTACGCAATGAAGTACTCAGTGACAGGAGTAGGCCAGCATAACATTATCGCTCGGGATGTCTCATCCAGCATGCTCCATCATCTCTCGGTGTCTTTGCTCTTGGAGAGCACAGTGACCTGGTCACCTGCGGTGCACATCTGAACGCTGAAATACACGCTCCCGCTCCTCTGGAGCTTCCCGGGGATGTCGAGGCCGTTTTTCGAGAAGTGAAGGAGCTTCCCTCTCAAATGCACCCCCACCACATCGCCTTCCCCGTAGCCCGACGTCACAGCTGACGTATGGGTGCTCCTCTCCCTCTGATCTCCAGTGAACACCCCGTTCCCAATGTACCAGACCGAGCCTACGTTGCTGCGATCGAACCAGTTCATTCCCGTTGTCGCTGTCTGGTTGATCATCTGCATGACCCCGAGGCGAATCGAAGTGACGCCCATCTTGTCGATCCGGACCTTCCAGTCCCCATCGCTGGTCTCGTGGATCGGATCCCCGTACCTACAGCTCTGTGAGCAGGTCGATGGTGGAGAGGACAGGGCGAGGAGGACAGAGAAGGTCTCAAGAGCGCATAGGAAGTGTTGTTAGCACCTTGCTGTGTGCCATGCCTCGCTGTCGCGGCTCTTCACCGCGATCGCGGTGGTCCCCTTCGCCGCGATCCCCACCATCTCCCCCCACATAGCCGCACGTGTTGGAGCCTCTCGATACGACCCCCGGCCTCGAAGGACCACGATAACCCCCTTCCCTGTATCGCTCTGACACCCCTCTTTATGACTATCCAAATACCCCTACTTTACCTCCCTGGACTACCCCGTACCCCCTCTTTTGTCTGATGTCGAGGACTGCAATAGCACCCCTGCAGAGCCCAACATGTATTATTCTCATCCCCCTCATATACTACTCATCCCCCTCATACACACAATCTCATCCCCCTCATATACAATCTCATCCCCCTCATACAGACTCTTGGAAATCTTGACAGCTTGTTGTGTTTGCTCTCAGGGTTGTTCTACACCTCCCCTGTGATGTAACTCAGGGTAGTATCATAGTACCCCTACCATTGACCATCAAGTACCCACCCAAATTCCAGCACTTGCTAGGTACCAGGTCCTTCAGGTGTTCGATGCGAGGTATTGGGAAAGGGGGTGATTAATAGAGACTTGAAGGGGTGGGTAGCCTGTAAACACTGAAATCGGAAGTTATGAAAGCAGGAGGATCGAGGTACTGAAATATTTGCTAGTGATATTTATAAATGATCTCTCACCTTGCCGAGTTACAAAGCGACTGCGTTTTAACCAGGCCTGCCATGAATTGGATACCAGGAGGGGGTGGGGTCAGTCATGGTCTATCGTTTGACGAATGACCGAAAAAACCCTCTTTGGAAATCTTGAATCCCAAGTTCGACGCAGAAATGGCGTGAAACACAACAGAGGACCGAATGATCATTTGAAATTAGTTTTTCAAATTTGATTCTAATGTATCAAAATGTTTGTAATCAGCTCAGGAGTCGAACAACAGGGCCGAACATACGTTTGTTACACCGCCAAATAACCTTGGAATTCATTACGGGACAAATTAAATCAATTTAAACAAGCTTTTCAAGGGTATCTTATGCGTCGATACTTTCACGAAAATGAATCTTTTCATCACTAAAATATTTGTACGCGTCTTTGCATGACCCTACGTGATGCGTTTGGGGCCCTGCTTGCAAAGTGAGGTACGGGTAGGTACCTTACCTCGCAGAATACTCGATTTGCGGTTCCATTTCTACCCTTGTGATGCAGCTAAGGTTTATAAGTCATCTCATAGTTATTCATCGCCATCACCTAATCTTGCGTAGCACGATTGGGGTCGCCAGGCCTGCCTAGTGCCACCTACCCCTGCAAGGTGTCGGATCCACCCCATTGAGCCCTATTATTTGAGAGAAAAATTGTACGGAGTAGGTCGCATCTCGCCTACGTACTAGTGACCTAGGACTCCAATAGCACCTTTCACCTAGCTACTAAGAATATTTCTATGACTTTTGGTCTATCGATTGCTAGGTCAGATCCTATGACCCCCCTGAGATGTTTTTCGGACTTATAAAATGTTTATTAACTTTCTTTACTAGCTACAATCACTTATAAATTATGAAAGGGATTGTTATGGAAAATATTTGTACCGGTTTTCTTTACTCATTTCTCTACTCCTGAGACCAAAAAAAAAGTGTAACCCCCACCCCTACACCTTTATTGCGGGACCCCACCTGTCTCAGACTCCACCCACCCTTGTCCGATTACCTCACCTCCCCGCATCTCTCCATTGTCTCTTTCAGAGCGTTTGGATCTCCCACCCCCCATATCCACACACCACCCCTACTTTTCATAGATCATAGGCTACACGCTAGTTTGCCTCTTCCACACCCCTTCTTTTTCCCAACAATCATCACCTTCCCTACACTCTATGGCGGAGGATCTACACTATGATTGATTTTCCTGTAGACGACTTATGATTCTCTTGACCTTTGATACGGAGACTGACGGATATTGTCTTCATCCCTCACAAAGAGCTGGTTTGGATATAAACCGGTAGTTATAGAAGCAATACCACCCCTGACCCCTCAATGTGAACTACTACCCCTTACCTCCAATCTCTCATCCTGATTTTGAAGTACCCTTAAAAGACCACTACCCCTGTCACTCCCGGTACCCCAGCCTTTGTAAGCCGTACCCCCGAGATTGTTCCGTGCAATGTATTGCACGATGTGAAATGCAAGAAGCGCTTGTTTGCGTCTTTTCCCTAGTATGCATGCATCGCCGCCTTCTACCAGCGCTCTCCTCTATCATCAACATTCAGTTGCACAATTGAGCTCATACCTCTTGAGACATCTCGTCTCCTTGTGTGCTCTGATTGATACTGTAGTTGTTGAATCCCTCCAATCGTGTTAAGAGCAGTTTTTCATTGAGAGTTGGCCGCAGAGCAGGAGAGGCAGGCAGAGAAGAAGAATTTGGAAAATTGATGTTGCGCATTGTTGTTCTTCGTTTTGTGAGCTCAAAAGGTCTTCGTTTGTTATGGATTCTAGGTCATCATGGTTCCGTATTTGTTTCTGATAATTTCAAACTGCCTGCATTATCATTATGTGCATTCCATTTCGTTGTGAGAATGGTTTAGAACGATCAAGAATTACATTGTCTTTGTCAACTACATTTTATCGTGATATCTCATGACCCTCGTTTATCTGTGAACCGATTCTGATGTTTTTTCTTGTGCAGTCCGGCTCCACAGCGGCTACATTCACTCAAATTCATTTCGTTTCCCTATGAGCTCTCAGGACGCGAGATAATCTTGAGTGAGGATCTGATTGATGCACAGTGAACATGGAGTGTTCAAGTGCAAAGAAAGAACCATCGAAACAGATTTCTATTTGTCCCTCCTACGGCATGCGATCGTGTTCTCGGCTGTGTAACCTGCAGGCGACTACCTTATGCTTCCTGGTGTTCTCCTGTATTCTGACCGGTCACTGCGGTGCTGTGTGGTCAAGGACTTCTCCTTCCCAGTTTTTTCATGGAATTGAGCCGGAGTACACATGTGTATATGATGACATCAACGGCTCTCCAGACCTTCTGAGGAAGATCAATGTAGCCTACAAGTACAAGAACTATCTGTCGAACCAGAATCAAGCGCTCAAGAGCAAAGTGTCGCATAGTGCGAGCATTCCAACCAAGGCTGGTGAGGAAGCCATGAGCGAGGACACGATCATGCTTGGCTCTCTAGAGACAGGAGAGCACCGAACACCGCGGGCCCAGCTAAGAAAGCCTTGTACCGAGTGTGTGCCACCAGTGTTGAAGCAGGATGAAGAGTTTTGGCACAAGGACGTGGGACAGCGATACAAAGAGCTGGTCCCTCCCAAGAAGAGGTTCAGCTGCAAGTTGCCGCTTGGAATGTCATCTCAAGCAGATCTGCGAAAAGCTGTACAGGCGGCATCAGTATCGAATTCAGCATCAATATCTCCAACCAACTCCTATCTTGATATTCAGTCTGCTTCAGGAGAAGAACAAATGCTGGATGAGGTTGTGTTTGTTACTGATCTGGACAAGTGCGCATTTTACGGGAATGATGGAAATGACCTTGGGATAGCTCTGCAGTGGATGGAGAAGAGCCCGGAGCAAGTAGTGCAGCTCTACGAAATCCTGCTTAATCCCCAGGTCAAAGAGACGTACAAGAAGTTGAAGGCGAAGGCGAAGAAAGTGAAAGTTGTGATCTACACTATGCGAGCGACGTTCCTCGTGTACAGATCGTGTTTCAGAGACCTGGTGATCCCGCTACAATGGGATCCGTCGTGGCATGAGGGAGCCCAGGTCTTCTTCCCACCGACAGTTAAGACAGCGGACGATATCTTAAAGTCTTACTCCACACCTTGCCAGCTCCTGGAGGAGGAGCTTGTCGACATCAAGAAATCTCTTGAGAGGCTTCTGGCTACCAGACAGGTGATTGCCAAAGAGTTGGAACTGGACGATCTCCCGGAGCTAGTTGTTACCGCTACTCCAAAAGATCTGGACTCAACAATGTCCCGTCTGAGGCTCCCCAAAGAAAACGCGTTTCTATGGGACGACAACCCCAAGTTGAGGGGAAAGCCAAAGATTGTCAGCGTCGAGCCCTATGAAGCGCTGCACGAGTCGAAACGAACCGAGCTCCTTGCTTTTCTGGACAGGAATCTGCCGCCGGAGACGCTAGAAACGGATCTGGTTGAGTTCATGCTCAGTGCAGACCCCAGGGATCAAGTGCTCACACAGGACGAGGAGTCAGGGAGACTCTGCTACCAGATCCAGATCAACAACGCGCAAGACTCGTGGGCGCTTCCTGAGTTGTCATCGAGCCTCTCGAGTAGTGAGAAGGCTGTCGACTCGGACAACAGGGTGATCTTGTCGGCGCCTTCCAAGGACGGGAACGGGCACCTGTCCCCTGTCACTCCAGACATCGAGGCACTGGAAAGCACGCACTTCCCGGGGCCTGTGATACTGAGGGAAAATCATCATGAGGGACTCCTCGGGAAACAATGCGAGAGGGTGCGATGAAGGAAAGATGGTGGCGGCGGTGCTATGTGTACAGTATTTCTACATATGTGTTTATTCTTTATGTCCTACAGCGAGCGAGCGAGTGGATTGGAGTGGCTGGTGGGTGAAGGACTGTGGGAATGACTATGTTTGTACGTTGGACAGCAGAACATGGTCAGAGTGATGTAAATTGTGAAGATGTGTGAAGCTAGGCATTTGAGTTTCATTTGTACATGAACAAAACAGTAAAAATCAGCGAAAATGGTTTGATCCGCTTCAAATGCACAGCTGCATGTCGAGAACACGGACTATGGGGGAAAGGAGCATGTACACTACACTCGATCTCGAAACGTTGGATGGCGAACGTAGCTGACCTCATCACACATCACAAGAGCAGATGCAACAGGAGAGACAAGGAGAGGTTGACAGTAGTCGTCAGACTGGATGCAGCAGCAAGCTCGTGTACTGTTCCCGATGCGAATTCAGTGAGTTCGCGTGAAAATTCAAACGTGTTGATGTGAAGGGGAATGCGCGGAGGGGAGGAGGGTGGAGTTTCAAGAGGAGGAAGAGGGGAATTACCGAATGAGAGCCGCTCGTCATGGTAGTTGATAGGCATCCAAGATGTGGTTGTAAGGCAAGCAGTGAGTAGATTTATGGTGATAAAGTCAACAAAGAATATTTCATTCATAAGCCGTATTCAGTTGGCTATGACTTGTTTGTGTCTTGCATGGCGTGCAGGATGCTCCGCAAACCTGAAATGAAAGTGAGGAGACGAGGAGGAGGAAGGAGCAAGCCGAAATGGCAGGGTGTAATGGGGAAGCAAACGCTGCAACGCGAGGAGAAGGAGAGACGGAGTTGCAGGAGGAAGGAGGAGGACACGTGAAGCGAAGAAGAGCTCTTACTGGAGCTCTCGTTGCGGGCTTGTTTCATCTTAGTCTCATCCTCTGCCTGCTCCGCTTCCACCCCGACCTCACCCTTCCCGCTCTTGCCCCGGGAGGCGATGAGATGCCGGACAGATACCAGTGTCTCCGCCGCATTCTCCATGCGGAACGACATGTCTACGTGTCCCCAGTTGATAGCTCCCGTGTCGAGCCGGTGGATCAGGGACGCGACGTCGACGAACTCCATGCACAGCTGCAGCTCACGGAGGAAGACCTCGGCCTCCTCCTGCAGCCAGTCCTTGCGCAGATGACAAGGCTTGATTTGATTCCTCAGCCGCAGCAGCTGCTGCGCGAAGGCCTGCGGCGTCTTACAGTCCATGCACTCCTCTGCGAACTGGACCCACATGTCCTCCCCGGTGTTTCTCACAGCTGAGAAGGGCAGCCGCATCGAGATGCTGATCATCCTCCTGGCCAGGATAGCAGGAGAGATGAGCTTGATGCTACCTCCCTCGTTTGCCGATCCCTTCCCTTGGTGCTTGCACTGAAGGTAGTGCTTGCGGATGGTGCTGTTGAACCGCTCGAAGCTCCCTGCCTCCTCCTCGGATAGCACCATCCCCTTCCTGCAGTTTCCCCACAGGCAACGGACGTTGCATTTCTCTCCCACCTCGCTGCATCGAAAGTTCCATCGATCCTTCAGCGCACTCTGTGCGATCGGGCGAGCGGTGGAGCAAATGGCGCAAATCGCCTTTACAGGCTTCCTGGACCTGCTGTCCTTCCCTCCTCCTTCCTTGCTGGTCTTCTGCTTCTTGCTCGGCACAGCCTGCTCCTCTCCTGCCTTCCTCTTCTTAGCATCCTCCTCCTCGTCCAAGGCTACGGCGTCGAGTTTCATTCTTAGATCTTGCCCCTTCCTGTACTGCTTCGACGACGATGGGTTCCTATTTCTCAGTGACCTGTCCGAGCTCCCAGCATGAGTCGCATGCTCAGGAGAAATCTTTGGTGTGCCATTCAATGGCAAAATTTCAACCACCCCTGCCCGGTGACCTTCAAGATTCGGTACACCACTTCCTCCTCGTCCTCCTCCTCGTCCTCCTCCTCGTCCCTTGTCGTTCAACCTCAGCCCTCCTGTGTTTGCACCCGAGACAGACTGATGGAGGTCACAGGAGTTCATGTCTCTCAAAGAATTCTCATCGTCCTCCTGCTCTGTCGGCGCTTGACTGAGCAAGCTGTGCACGTCCTCCTTGGAGTTGGACCGGGCAAGGGCACTGTCGACTTCATTCCTGACCAGCTCATGGAAAGCGTGCGAGGAGACCTGGCGCTTGTCACCATGAGGAGCCTCTGCTTTCCGAAAGCTCTGCATGGTCGGCATAGAGCGCTGCTGCTGCTCACTGATTCCTCCCATCCTCAGATACATTTGAGGAGTAGCCAGCCTTGAGTTCTCATCCCTCAGCTCCCTCAGGCTCTTGTCGGTGGTGACATGATGCACCTCTGACGTCTTGATGCCATCGACCTCGACCAGCATCTTCGCCTTCTCCATCACGTTGAACATCTTCGTCGCCTCGTGCACGTCGCTGTTGTGGAAGCCCGCTCCTCCCACAACATCCGTGCGGAGGATGAGAGGCTGGCGGTACTCGGAGTGGCTTCTTTCCCCCTTCATCCTCTGATCGATCCTCTCTCGCTCATCTCCAGCTCAGCATCTCCTCCTCTCTCCTCCTCCTCCCTCATCTTCGCTCCTCACCATCGATCCCCGCCATCTCGTTGCCCTTCCCGCCCCTCATACCTCCCCAACCCTCGTGGTCCTCATCCCACCTCATCCCGTCACGGTCCGCCGGACCGTATCGCCGAGTCGACTGCGGCCGTACGGCGTACTACGCACGGTTCACTGAGTCAACCGCCCGGGCCGGCCCGGCCGCGGGTGACTGCGGCATCCGACTCGGCCGGTGACTCCCGGACTGAGGCCGCGGGCTGAGCCGGGCCCTGCACTGACTTGACAGTGACTCGGTACGGTAAAGGGACTCAGAGAGGGCCAGCTGCAGTGCCGCCGGACTCAGTTGAACTGGCACCGTGACTGTCCTGGCGGCCCACTGACCGTACAGATCGGACGGTGCGGCAAGCCTGGCAAGTTGCCCTCAGTGTCGGTCCTGGCACTGCGCCGCCGCCGCGGCCGGGGCCCCGGGCCGGCACACGGTCTCACGGTGCCGGCCAAGTTCCGAGGCCGCTCAGCGGCGTCCGCCATACAGGCCGCCGGGCCGGGCTCCGAGGCTATCGGCGGCTAGTATGGCCAGTGATCTGCCTGATCACTGGCATAACCGTCACTGGCCGGGCCCGGGTGCCGCTACGCCGTAGTAGGGCCAGGCCCGGGGCCCTGACTAGTACCAGGGCCTCACCGTCCGATCCCCGGCGCCGCCGTGCCCGGCGGCCCGGCCCTGACCAGCGCCGGGCAGTGCCGCCCGCCGCCTGGGTCGCGGGGCCGGGCCCACTGTGACGGTGAGATGTCATGATCGCCGGGGGGACTCCGGGCCGGAGGCGGCCCGGCAAGTTCACTCGGACTCCCGTCCGACTGAGACGAACGGTTCGCCGGGCCCGGCGGCGGGGGCCGCGGCTCGGCCCTTCAAGTCCTGGCGGCGGTCGGACCGCCGTATGGCCCTAGTACGGTCCGATCGGGCCGTCCGGGGAGTCACCGGGTGATAGCCCGGCCGCTGAGGCCCGGCTCCGGCCCGGGAGGCGAGCCGAATTACATAACGGGTATGAAACGGTCGTGTTGACCATCGGGACTCCTGAAGGACACAGGGCATGACGAAGCGAGGGATGTGAATGGGAGTAGAGGAGAGAGACGAGAGAGGAGACGAGCAGGACTCAGACAAGCAGGAGACAAGGTAGAGGAAGACGTGCCCTCTACACGGATGAAGCTGTGATTGGGTGAAACGCGAGGCTTCGTGTGAAAACGGTGTTCGATATAGACGTCCCCTTAGTTGTCCATCTGTGACCAAGACGTCCAGAAAGAAGAAGCGAGGTGATCGCGACGACGAGCCTCTCTTCAAGGAAAGCCCTATTCGATAGAGCTCAGTGTGATCTGTTTCCGTCACAAACTTTCATTACAACATCTATCCACATCTTTCAACATGAAAGGCGGTAATCAGGTAATAAACTGAACCTCAGCTCAAACTCACCGCTCACGATGGGATCACCTTGTGCTGCTGCAGGATCGGTCATCCGAAGGCCGAGAAACCAGTCGAGAGAGGCCAATAGGCATCATCGGAGCGAGCAGGGGGACGGGGCTGCAATGTGTAAGGTTTGCCGTTGGTGATCCCATGAACTGAGAAGCATACGTTCAGGTTCTCTATGCTGCCAAGCTGAAGATCCACTGCCGTGCAATCGTGCGAAACCCTCAGGAGAGTGAGGAGCTCGTGAACTCGTACCTCCCTGTCTCGTTCCGTCAGTATGTGAGTTGGTTGCGCCCTTTCTTCTCCCTGTTGAGTGACTCGTGTTGACATCGCAGGTGCAGTACTGCAAGGCGGATGTGACGAGCCCCAAGACGCTATCCAAGGCCGTGAACGGCTGCAGGCGAGCAGGTGGACGGTTTACTAGGCCCCTGCTGAAGCCGATGCTGCTACCAGGGGTTTGATCTTTGCGGCCACGGCAACAGCCGGCTGGCGCCTTCCTATTTACGACAACAAGGATACTCCTCCGCACATCGACTTCGAAGGAAGCGTTGCGGGTATGCAGGAGGTCGCGAGATGGTGGCGGGTCTTCTGAAGCATCCCTCATCCAGCCGCCACAGCAGCAGCAGCTGAGGGCGTCGCCAGGTTCGTTCTGATCTCGAGCCTCGCTATCACCCGCCCATCTCACCCGATGCATCTGGTGAGTTGAGATGGCCGAATGTGTAACGAACTCTGTCTGAGAGAAGATCTTCGATCAGGCAAGAAACAGCCTGATGGGTAGGATCATGGATTGGAAGCTTCTTGGGGAGCAGGTAGAACCGCGCGCTGCAGATGCCGTCGGCATGTGTAGCTGAACTCAAGCTCTCGCTCTCAGGGGGTGTCGAAAGTGTACGAGGCGGTCTCAAAGAGCAGCACAAACAAGATGTCCTACACTATCGTCCGACCAGGTCAGACCAACTCGCCTGCCCTGCCCAAATCCATCCCGGCGCTTCAGCAACCAGTTCCCCCGCCCCCTCCCCCACCTCCACACTTCCTCTGATCTGGTACAGGTTATCTTAACGACGACCCTCCCGGTGGGCCCACCACCTTGCTCGTTGACACGGGAGACAATCTTTCCGGGTCGATCTCAAGGTGGTCCAGGTAGGAAGCAAGCAGTGCCATGGTCTGACTGTGCTCTAGAGCGGACCTTGCTGCCTTGTGCGTCGAGGCTATCTTCAGGCCGGATGCTCACAACCTCACTCTCGAGGTGGTCAACGGCAAGTGAGTAGTGTCTTCTCCCCTTGCTCCACTGCTCAGCTTTGAGTCGCAGGCAAGGCGGAAACTATCCTGTCTGCAACAGTTATGATCAGGTCTTCCACTCGCTGTCATCTGGTTATCTTCCGGTTTGTGTTTCAGCTGCTCCATGTGATGCAGAAGTTTATGTGAGGTCCAGGTGTCTGCACCCGGCTGTTTACACACGAGTGGAATTAGAGGTATGTGTGGAGTGCAAGATTTAACATGTTGATGGCATGGTAGAAATAAAATTACAAAACTGAGTTGTCACTGTGCCAGTTCTTGAAGTGGCATTTTAGTATCAACCGATTGTATCTTTTGTACTCTGCATTCTAATTACAATCGATTGTGATACATGTCTTGGGAGGTGAAAGATATCATGAAGAGATCTGAACTGTGGTGAACAAACACAAATGTGCATTTTTCGAAGGTTTAAGTTCAACGAGCTAATAAAGTGGCATTACTAGAATGATTCCGAGCTGCTGCTCAGACCAAAACTAGGAGTAGTTTCAAGCTACAGCTTAGAACCACTCGCCGAAGTAGAGGGGGCGCTGCTCGTGGTGGAGGTACTCCATGCGCCACATCCAGAGCTGGGAGGTCTGCTGCTTGGTCTGAGAGAACATTGATACCTAGAAAGAAAAAATGTGAGAATCGAAAAATATCGCATCTTACACTAAACACTTGCAGAATCATCATCCCTTGAACTCAGTGCAAAACCAGAAGGAGTCCAAAACAACAACCATAATCTTCAAACAAGTCTTGCAGCAGAGTCATTCTCGCATTCATTCTCATCTTTATCATCATCGTCTTTGAATCACAGCAGAACAAAACTCCGCGTCACATCAGATCATCGCGTGCCATGGAGGGGGTTCTTACAGTTCGGTGCGGCGGACGAGGGAGGGGAGCCTTTTGTGCGGCCCTTCCGAAGAGCCGCGGGGGAGTTGACTGATCCCACTGCCTGAAGAGCCGTCCGTGCCCACCCCTCTACCCCTCATAGTAGTGTAATTTTGCCTTTTTCTTCCAGGTGGGGTGGATGCAGAGACCTGCGGAGAGCGAAGTGGTGGGGGGATCAGGGGGTGGTGGTAGAATATGATAATCACCATGTACGCCAGGTTTGATAGAGTACCGGTATCTTGCGTATTGGACCTTAGGGGAAATACAGGTGGGGGTACTATAAAGGTAGCTTTTCGAGGGGTTGGACTTCAATGGGGTACCATTGCCAGGGGTCATTGGGGTACTTAAACTGAGGCGGACTAGCCCTCAAGAGACATTGGCACCCCTCCTTGCGAGCTCTGCTTTAACCCACCGGTACCTCTCCCTACACCTCATCTTCAAGTACCCTACCCCACCAGTTTTACCTAGGGGTACTGGCAGAACAGCACCCTAGGGACCGCCAGTACCACCTGCTTGTAGGACCGAAGCCAAGGACCCATGTGTACCCAAACAATCCAATGACCCCACCACCCCCTATTAGATGCTTTGACAGCGCCTGTAGGGGGACAATTCAACATGTTATATGTGGTACCCCACCCTATAGTTTTTCTGAGACAATCTCTACCCCCCATTGACTCTACAAGTACCTCTTCTTTCCTACCACCCCATCCTGTCTTACTACCCTACCCACACCCCTCGCACAAACCGTACCCCTGTTGTTGACAGCCTGGCTCTTCGAGATGGAATCCGTTACATATATGTCTTGACCGTTACTCAAAATCTGTAGCCGACGCCTGGTGCGGACCCGCCTCGGACCCGCTACAATTTTTCAAGGGTTGGCCCGCCTTTTTGTTCTGTCGGAGCACTGGCAGTGCGCACCATGGAGGACAGGAACGAGCTCGGGCGGTGGAGGGATGGAGGGGAGGAGCGGAGGGAAGGGGTGGAAGATACATGAGACTGTGAGAAAGCGATGATGTCGGAATCCGCCGTGTTCACGACGTCTCTTGTTGAACTGAAAGGAGGAGGAGGAGCAGGAGCAGGAGGAGCACGAGGAGAAGCCAAGGTCAAGATTCGACAGGTGAGAGCTTCTCCATTGAGCCCTGGCCACTGCCATGGGAAGAATCAAATGCATCACCAAATGCATCATCAGGTTGCATCTGAAGAGTTCGGCTGCTTCATCTGGCCATCGGCTGTGCTTCTTTCTCAATATCTCTTTGAGCACTCTGGCGTAGTAAGGAACAGCAAGGTACTGGAGTTGGGAGCAGGGGTGGGGTTGCCCGGCTTGCTATGCAGAAAGCTTGGGGCTTCAAGGGTTCTTCTCACAGATCTGAGCAAGCCCCCGATCATCCTCAGCAACTTGCAGCACAATTGCTGTGCCAACGAGCTAGAACATTGCTCAGCTGCTCCAATGGACTGGGGTATCGTCACGGAGGAGGTAAGGAGGGAGGGGAGGGGCCTCTCGCTGGATGATGTCTTGATTTCAGATGCTGCTCATGCGACGCACATGCTACGATGTCCTGCTGGCAGCAGACTGCCTGTACTCGTCCTCCTTATACGAAGACTTTCTCTGTACGGCATCCTTCTTCCTACGTCCTGCTCCAAAGGTTCTTCCTTGATGATTGATGGTCGCGGTTGGCGGTGATGGAGAGCAGGGGGAGGCTGGAGCATCATCGGTCAAGGCTCCGGCTCGTCCGCGTCTCTTCACTGTCTTCCAGGTGGGGAGGGAGGAGGAGGAGGTTGGGCGGTGAAGGAGCCTGCAGGAGAGAGGGTCTGGGTTCTCGCTTGCTCGGCTGATGGGGAGGTGGGGGTTGAGGTACGCGAAGATCGACTTTGTCCCGTCTTGCTCAGCTCTGGTGGGATCCTGCCGGGAGGAGGCTGGGGAGGAGGTGACGATCTGCTAAGGTGAACGGAGAGGAGGTCGAACAAGGGGGGCACGAGCTGCAGCTGCTGGAGATCTGGCACGAGGACGAGGAGCAGGACGGTGTGAGATGACCGCCGATGGCAGGGGATGGGAGGGAAATTAGGGAGGAGGAGAGCGTGTAGCGTGCGACTCGTGCTCTGCTGGGACAACTTGATGAACTAAACAAACTGTACTGCACGGGACCCGTTCCCCGTCACTGCTGCATATGCTGCTCCTCCCCTTCTTCCTTCATTGGTCCAGCTCCCTTGCAGCTGAGGTTTTGCCTGGCTCCAGACCGTCCACATAGCCCTACGTACTCATCGTCATCTCCTCCGCACAACCTGATCCTGCTTGCTTCCTGCTACCCCCCTCTCCTTCTCTGCAGCTCCCTAGCACTCTCTGCTCTCCCTCCCCCATGCGCCCTCCTCCCTTCGCTTCCCCCACATTCCCAGGTAGCTCAACAAACCCCTCGTTCCCCTCCTTCTTTACAGTTTCTTGCCGCTCTCCTCTCCCCTGCCCCCTCCTCTCTCATTCCCAGGCAACTCTTCCTTCCCTCCTCCCGCTCCCTCCGCACACTGAAACTGGCCATCCTCATCGTACACATCCTCTTCGTTCATCTGCAGAACGGACGCAATCTGCACGCGAGCGCTGCGGTAGGAATGAGAGGAGGGAAGGGAGACGACGAGATTGAGTGGATTCAAGACAAAAGATGGAGGAAGAAGAGAATTAAGAGGAGGAGGATGTGAGGGGGAGGGAGGGAGGAGGAGGAGGAAAAACAGCCTCGGACTTGCCTGTCATACTTGGGACCCTTCCAGAAGACCTGTAGCACTAGATCAAGACGTCGAGAGAGGAGCGATTGTGAGGGGGAAGGGGAGGAGGAGGAGGAGGAAGGAGTGAGCGAGACGAGGAGAAGGGAGGGAGGGGAGGCAGGCAGGCAGGCAGGGAAACCTTCTTGCAACCCATGCACATATAGTACTTTGAGACCTTGACCTTGCAGGAGGAAGGGATCTGACCCTCATCGAACAGCTTCCAAAAGCGTCAGTCGCACAGCATAGGAGGACGCGATAGGTTCAACCTCTTTGATCTCCTCCTCCGTGAGGCGCTTGTAGTTGGACGTGTTGCACTTGCTGCACCTGGCCATGAAGGTCTTGGGGCTGAGCGACAAGGCGGGGAGGGAGTCGTCAGCAGCAGGTGGGAGAGGCGAAAGCTGGGGACCTGAAGGAGAGCCCGAAGCTATCGATGATCTGCAGCATGGGGGCGTCAAGGCGCCTCCTCCTCTCCCCTCCTCTCCCCTCTCCTCCTCAGCTTCGCTCTCCCCTTCCCTCCTCTCCCCTCCCCTCCTCAGCTTCGCTCTCCCCTTCCCTCCTCTCCCCTCCCCTCCTCAGCTTCGCTCTGCCCTTCTCTGCCCTCCCCTCCCTTCCCCTTGTCTGCCCTTCTCTCCCCTCCTTCTCACCTCATGGAATCCTGCCTTCGCATCGTTGGATGGCACGAAATAACAGAGTCCTCCGCAAGGCTTCGAGATGAGTTTCCTGAAAATAAGGTTCATACAACTGTAACCCTCTATCCACCCTCCCACTTTCCCCATGCTCTATCTCCCTCCTGCTCCTGCTCCTGGTTCCGCTCCTGCTCCTGCTCCTGGTTCCGCTCCTGCTCCTGCTCGTCCTCCTCCTTCTATTTCTCTATTTGTTCCTTCCATCTTGACGTCCTCCCATCCTCATGTCCTCCATCCTGCTCCTCCCTCCCATAGCCTTAATCTTACGGCTGACCTGTCTCGGGTGAGGAGGACGCGTCCTTCTCTTGCAGCCAAGGAGATGATAGTCTGCGCGTCCCTGTTCCCCTCATACAGGGCTGTATCCACTCCTGCTCCCACTATCAGCTCCTCCTCCCTGCTCCCTGCTCCCTCCTGAACCGATGCATCTCAGCCACTTCACCGTCCTCCCGAGCATCGTGTCCGCCAGGAATTTCACTCTGGTAGAGGTCGAGGAGGCTTCACTGCTGCCGGAAGACTCGTCGGGCTCCGTCTCCTCCCCTGATGCTCCTGCTCCTGCTCCTGCTCCTGCTCCTGCTCCTGCTCCTGCTCCTGCTCCTGCTCCTGCTCCTGCTCCTGCTCCTGCTCCTGCTCCTGCTCCTTGCTCTTCTTCGACGAATCCAATCATTGAGTCCCCGATCCTCGAGCATGGGAAGCCATCACTGTCTCCAAGAGACCCCATTCTCTCCAAGCTCCCTCTTGCTCCTGCTCCTGCTCCTGCTCCTGCTCCTGCTCCTGCTCCTGCTCCTGCTCCTGCTCCTGCTCCTGCTCCCTGCATTTCCAGGTGCTCGATCCCCCCAATCCCACCAGCCTTCATCAGGCTCAGAGACTCCTCCCGCTGCCCGTCAATCCACAACTTCGCGGCCTTCGCCGCCAGCATGGCAGCCCTAGCAGCATCCTTTCCGCCGGGGATCTCGTCCTCCACCCAAGGCATCGTCAACATCTCTGCGATGCGGGGAGGAAGGAGAGGCTCTTCACGCTCCCCCCCCCTCCCTCCCTCCTCGCTCGCGTCCTTGCTGAGGTCCTCCATCATCACCGTCCCCCCGATCCTCTCGTGCCGCTCCTTGATCTCTCGAAGGCTCAGCTGCAGCCCCAAGTGCGGCCTCCCGCCTCGGAACAGATACCTCCGATCGAGATCGTCTCTTCCTCCTCCCTCTGCCCCTGCCCCACCACCACCACCTCCTCCTCCTCCTCCTGATGCTGCTGCTCCGGTATCGTCCCGTGGGCGGTCGATTACCACTTTCACTCCTTCTTCCTTGAATGGCCCAGGAGCTACTCCAGCAGGAAGGAACCCAAACCTCGACATGACCTCAGCAGCAGTCGCCTGGCGCACCTTCCTCCTCGCCTTCAGCAGACCCTCGAGTTTCGACACAGAGACTTTGCCCCTCCTGCATGACACCACAGCCACCGGAGCTCCGCGCGCTATGAACGCCAGGACCCGACCGATGTTCTCCTCCTCCGTCTTGAAGGCAACCGCTGCCTCCCCGCTCCTCTCGCACGGCACCTCCTCGGGCACGACGAGCACGCGGGAGCGAGCATGGAGAGGGCGGTCTTCAGCATCGTCGACCTGCTCCTGCCCCTCCTCCTCCAGTCCGAACCAGCTGATCACCTCCTGCGAGCCCGTGACGTTCGCGGGGGTTACAACTTTGTCGCTCCTCAAGGAGACAGAGGAGAGGACGAGCTCTCTCCAGTCCTCGAGTTTCTTGTTCCTCTCCCTCATCGTCGGGATGCTGTCGAAGACGGACAGGAGGCAGTGAGCGTCGAGGGCCGCGTACTGCACCTGCTCCTCGCTCAACGGCCTCGCCTCCCAGTCGCTGATCTGCATCCTCTTGTCAAGGTCCTTCCCAAGACACGCCTGGACCGTTTTCTTCAACGAGTTCCCGCTCCTGCCCAGCAGCTTCAAGCTCCACTTGCTCACGTCGAGCAAGGAGGAGACGAAGAGGAAGCATGAGGAGAGCGGATAGGAGTTTCTCAGTTTCTCCAGGTCGTTCTTGAGGTCGAAGCCGAGTTTGATGATGTTGGGGTTGACCAGGAGGTCGTGCAAGATCCCTCCCCCGTACAGCCCACCGTCCCCTCTGCTCAGCTCATCCTCTTCCTTCGTCGCCTCCTTCTCACGGCACATCCACAGCAGATCAAAGATCAGGATGTTCCTCCTGAAAGCCACCTGACCGTCTCCCAGTCAGAGAGGCTCAGGAAAGAAAGTCTGCTCCTCCCTGCTCCCTGCCCTCTGCTGCACCACCTCTCAACAGTTTCTCAGGCTCCTCTACCTGCTCTGCTACTGCTTCCTCGGTTCCTTCGTCCTCGAGCATATCGCCTGTTCTGATCCTGCCTGTGCTGCTGTTCCTGTTGCTAATCCTCCTCCTCCTCCTCCTCTCCCTCCTCCCTCCTCCTCCTCCTTCACCTGCAGGATGCTGGCTCGAGAGACCTCCCCAGCCTTGAACACGGCCTTCCACTCCACGTCCAACCCAACAAGCGTGGGAGGCTGCGAGGACCAGGAGGAGGCAGGAGCCTTGGACGCCTCCTCCTCCATAGCGAGGATGAGGCTTCGACAGAACGCCATCTTCTCCCTTGAGTCTACGAAGCAGACCTCCTGCAAGGGGCTGCGAGGGACGAGGGTCAGCGGGGAGCAAGGGAGCCGATCGACTCACATCTCAGGAGGGAGATGGAGGTACTTGGTGTCCTCCAGCTTCGCCATCCGCTCGAGGACGTCTGCTGGGATCTCCTCGACTTCTTCTTCCAGGTTGTAGCTCCTGCGCATCTTCAAGACAAGGGTCAGTCAGCATACATGCATCTCCTCCTCCTCCTCGTTTTATCATCATCATCATCATCATCATCATCATCATCATCATCATCATCATCATCATCATCATCATCATCATCATCAGCAGCAGCATCAGCAGCAGCAGCAGCAGCAGCAGCAGCAGCAGTCCCTCGGCCATGTGTCACCTGCATCGCTTCCTTGTAGTATCTATTGCTGATAAGCGAGTTCACCAGGTGCACTTGACATGTGCGACAGCTCTTGGCGAACCCGTACGCAAAGGAAAGCTTAGCCTTCCTCACGAACTTGTCGATCTTCTCACACCTCAGCGCTGTCCTGATCTCCTCCTGGAACTCCTCCGTCTTCCACAACTGCGCCAGGTCCTCTGCCCGGCTCCACTCCTTGTTTTCCATCAGCAGCTTCACCAGGTCCCTCCTGTTCTCGTCGCTCCCCACCTTCACGCAGAAAGCTCTCGCCGAGTCCCAGTCCTGCACCTCGAGGAAAGCGCTCAGGAGAGCCTCGTCGGCGAACTGCTTCCACATTCCAGCAGCTGTGACCAACCTTGTCATGTGCAAGTACAGCTGCTTGCTCCTGAGCTGCTCAGCGATAGACCGCAGGCTCTGGAAGATCGGGGTGGACCGGAGGTCAGGCCCGTCCCTCCCGAAGCTCCTCTTGAGGTCGAATGTCTCGATCATGCTGCAGAAGGCGCTGTGGGTCATGCAGCATGCTGCTTCCTCCTCCGACGTTCGTTGGAATTTGGAACAGATTCCCTCGAGCATCCTGAGCGACCGCCGTCCCTCTTGCGTCGAACCGTCCAACGTCACCCTCTCTGTCCTGCTACCTCTGACCTCGTGCTTCAGCCCGTGCAGAAGGAGGCTGAGCAGGGCCGACTGGGAGCCATGGCTGGGGTCTACCTCGTGCCCCTTCAGACTCTGCCGAATTTGGTCCAGATACTCGCGGTGGTCGTCAGCCAGGTCGTTGGGTGAGAACGCGACCAGGTCGATGCAGCAAAGGAGGCTTAGGACAGAAGGCTTCGCCACCGCCATCATCTTCAGCAGCACGTTGAACCTGAGGCTGAGTCAAGGCACAACTCTAAGTGCGATCCGCTTCTTCACCTGTCCCCTTGACGGATCTTCTCATGCAGAAACTTGAGGACCTGACGAGTTCAACTCAGTCCTCAGCATCTTGGCTCTTCCCTCCATCCTCCCCTCCCCCTTCCCTTCCACACCCTTTCCGCCTTCCCCCCCCCCCCCCCTCCCCCACAAAATTTC